AATTTTTTCATTTTTTTTTTTTTTTTTTTTTGTTTTCTTTCACTTTTAATATTATTTTGAATTGCAACAATCTTTTATTATGAACTTATGGATTATTGTGTTAATTTAATGGTTGCTTGTGGTTTTTTTTTTTTCGTTTTTTTTTTCCAATTACATTATTATCGCTTCTTGTTTTCTTCTGCTGATTTTTTGTTTTCTTTTTTTTTTTTTTATAGTACGTTTTGACAAATAATGTAATGATCAAGTTTCTATATAATTTTTTTTTTTTAACTTGTTTATATTATAATTTAAAAAAAAAAAAAAATTTTGTATAATCAATTAATAAATAAATTAAGATAAAAATTAAATAATTAATAATTTATATATAAATGTAAGTATACGGTAAAACTTAAGGATATAAACTGAAAATAGACATAAAAATATAATATAAAAATATATATTTTTTTTTTTTTTAGAATAATTTACGCTTATGAAATGTAATTTTTGTTTTTTGCTTTTATTACGCCCTCAATAATAGAAAAAAAAATGACTTTCTGTTGTAAACACTTGTACGCGTTTATGTGTATATATGTGTATATTCGCGCGCGTGTGTGTGTGTGTGTGTGTGTGTGTGTATAAAGGATTTGAAGTAATTCAACTTAAATTAATTTTTTTTTTTTTTTTTTTTTTGTTAAATGTTTAACACTAAGTGCTAGAGACAGACATTTGTCGTTTAAGTTGCTGTTGTCATATTATGTTATGTTTTGTGTTTCTCTGTTTTATTCTGTTAAGTAGGCTTTATTTACTCAATTGTTTAGCTTGTATTGCTGTTTTCTTAATTTTATTTTTAATTTTTTCGTTTTTAAATGTTTATTTTTCACTTTTTGTTTTCATTAAAAATTATATACGTAAAAATAGCGGTAGAAAAATCTATGTAGACATTTACAAAAAAAGTGCAAATTTGTTTTTATTTTTTGTTTTTCATGTGTTTTCTTGTTTTCTTGTTTCCTTTATTTATTTATTTATTTATTTATTTATTTTTTGTTTGTTTTTGTCGTTTTTTTTTGTTTTCCTCAAATCATATTCATTCCTCTTAATATTTCCTTATTTAATTGTTTGGTAATTTAATTTAGTCTGTGTAAAATTTGCAAAATAAAAATCGAAAACAGTAAAAATGTGAAGCTGTAAGGCTTGTTGTTTCGTGTATCATAAATATTCGTATAAAACTAAAAAACAAAACAAAAAATATATATACGTATATAAATATTTTAATACACTTACACTTTTTGCCAAAGTTTTTTAAAAAACAAAATTTTCAATAGTTTCGAATCATGGTCAACGGAATTAAAACGAAAAACCGGGTCAATAAGGGATTTTATATTTTAATTATATTATATTATAGGATCTAAACAGTCAAAAGCAGTAAAAAAAAAAGAAAAACGACTACCAGCGCGTCAATGAAAAATTTAAATAATAAAGGGGGAAAAAAAAAAAAAAAAAAAAGAAAAGAAAACCAAACAAAAGATTAATTAATAAATAATAGAAAACGATAGGAAAATATTTGAAAATTTAATTTTCGGATTTGTTTTTAAGTAATTTTGCGAATTGTGTATAATTTTTATGCTGTGGTTGGGGCAGCCGTTGTTGGTGAATTCGAATTCGCATTGACGTTTGAGTTGTTCTTCGAGTGCCGCAGTTGCATTAGATAATGTCGCTGTGTCGGTTTATGCAGGGCTAATTGTGTCAAGGCATCATCAATTGAAAACCATTGCCGCTTACGACCAATGCTTCGCGAATCCTCCCACTCCTCCAATTCTTTAGTAACGGTCATAACAAAGACCTCAGTGCGATGCATGTGATCACGATTCTATTTAATAAAACACAAATAAAATTTAATCACTAACTAATGTAACGCATTCAAAGTTTATTATACATATAATAATAACAATAGTAATAATAATAGTAATAAAACGAAAAGTCAAACCAACGAACCTCAAATACACCCAGACATCTGCCCAATTTACCTACCACACCGGCTTCTTCGAGAACTTCTCTTACCGCTGTTACCGATGGCTCCTCTTCAGGCTCGACTCCGCCACCTGGCACTATCCACAATTCGGGACGTCTCGAAGAGGTTACTAAAAGCACCTAAAATCAAACGTATATATATATGTATATACATATATATATATGTATATATGAGAATTGCAAAGCAAAAGGAAAATTGAGAAAAATAAAACAAAACATTCAGCCTTCTATACCCACCATATCGAAATATTCTTACTTAAGGGCATATTTTATAACCGGAATATAATTTGTGTATATTTCTACCTGATTATATACATTCTTATGTAATAGGCATGCATGAAAACTATTTCGGTACATGTCGTCTCCGGGATGCTCTCTGAATTGCCCACATTTTTTCCCTTTCTTTTTATTTCTAAAATTTCTGAAGGAAATAAAAAAAGGCTTATGCCTTGGCCAAAGTTCACCATCTTTGGTTGCGGGTTACATCGAATATTTGTTATGCGAATATTTGTTATGCGCCTACAATGCATAAGAATCGAAAGTTTAGGGATGATCTTGATGCCAAGTTAGTCGTAAGCATATTGGTAACGTCATTCTCGGAAACTAAACCATTCATTAGAATGACTAGCATTTATTTTAAAATGAAAAAGAAACTCTCTAATCTGTGCCTTCAATATAATGATTCCGGCTGGTATGGACGCCATCACGTGGCTGAAAAGTGAATTCGTTCACTTTTAAAGAAAGAAGTCCAGTAACAGTTTGACTAACATGTGATATTTTATGATTGGTCTAATCTTAAATTTATGAATTTGTGAAGCAAAAGTAAAAATTACTAACGGCATCACTGCTTGGCGTGCAACTATTTTCTTGTACAATGCCTCAAGGCGCGCATTCAGAGGATGTGCTATTGGAGAAGCATGGAAAAGAAAACTAAACTGACAAGCAAGCTTATCGAGTCTTCTAATTAGAGATTGTGTTTTCTTCTCGTGTTCACAGAGTTGCTAAACGCCAGTACCAAGGGATCTGTATACGCTAGATGTGCATTCATTGGCATTCTGATTGACTCAGAAGTACTTAGCAACAGACACATTATAAATTGCAATTAATCCCGGAACTTTATTTATTAGCATAGTCTCTGCCAAGAGTAACACAATCGGTCAAGGGCCTTATCGTTTAGCACAAATTTTTTTCCCTAGAGCATCCTCTTCGAATTTGCCAGGAGGATAGAAATCGTTGCAATGCAGATATTGAGGATGAGACGGCAATTCGAGTTAGGCCATTATAGAAAACCATTTTGATTAAGTGTAAGAAAAACACAGATGGCGTTCTCATGCTCCAAATATCGAATGTACCGCTTCTTGATGGCTTTTGGATGTCAGCCGTCTATTACAATTTTATTTTTCCGATTTTAAACCAGCAAACAATTGACGCACTATGATTATTTTCGATGGGGAAGAGCTGCCGTAACACTTTCTAAATTAATGTTAAACTTGAATTCGGCGTCAGAAAGCAATGTCTAGTCAACGCATGAAGTTCAGGTCTCCCTTAGGTTTATAAATTGTCAAAATGGCGTGAAATCTTCGCATATACCTTCCGTGGCTGGGATTAACTATTTCGAAAAACAATCTAATAAAGTTTCTGTTAAAGACGACATCAATGTGTCAGGCTGTTAATGATTGATAGGTTATATATGTTCGATTTTTGATCGTTTTCAAACGATCGCAAAAAATGAAAGTGTAAAACTGAAACTTAGCGTATACATTAGACGACGGCCACCGATGACGTTTGAAAATAGGCGTTAATCTCTTCAAAAAACTTACAACCTATTTACAAGAGCCATGTACACGAAATCCGGACGGCGGATATTTAAAAGTCGGTATAAAAAGAATTTAACTTTTTTCGTCTTTATTTACTATGCTGGGTCACAGTTAATATTAAAATTAAAATTCTACATACGGTTTATCGGGAACGATAAAATGCTTTTCTCATAACAACTAGCCAAACTGACACTGTTGGCATCAACAAACTTAGTCTAACGAGAACTAACGAGAACGAGAGTAGTTATGGTAAAAAAAAAAAAAACCACGCGCCCTATATTTCAAAATTTCGAAACAGTTAACTGCATCAAGGTCACGGATTAAATTAATAAACAGAAAGGAACCAATGAGCAATATGCGATCCAGGCGTTGCAGGCACGGAGTTACACTCTTTTTCAGAAGATTAATTAGAAAATTTTCTTTGCAGTCACTGAGCTAAGAATTCGATTGATCGCAGTGGCAGCATAGTGCTAGCCAGTGACCCTGCACTGTGGGGTCAAGGGTATTGCGGAGCCGTTCTCACTATATCATTTTACTTCGCTCGTCCTCGCCTGAGATTAGAGATTCAGATGTCGTCTTCGTGGGGCTTTATACCGTAGCTTGTCGCATTTTTTCCTTCTCTCCGTGTCCATTAACCTAATCGCTAACAGGTTCCTTGGCGTAATATCTGTTTCCGGAGATCTAAGAAGCTTGTTTCCCAAATATGCCCAAGCCATCGTCGTTTATGTGTTGCGCATGCGTTATCTGTTCGTAAGCGGAAACGGCAAAAATAATTCGAAAAATTTCCATAGGCAGTGAAAAGTTGAGTCCGGAAGAAAATAAATTCTCCGAGTGTCCTCTGCACTCATTCGTCTACATTTGGCATGATGGTGTGGGTCCATCTTCCTTCGGAGTCGTTTTCCCATTCTGTCAGCATGCGCTGTCGAACAGCAGTCTACAGTTTGCAGACATCGCTGCAGTTCTTTTCTTTTTTCCGCTGCGAATGCGTAACTGCTCTTTGAATAGCAGCTCGATGGGCAATATTTCTGTCAAGATCGCTGCCGCTGACATTGGAACGATATGTATGCAGTATGTATGTTCGTATGTATGTATTTATGTGGATTTCTGCGCGCCTATAAACAGTTTTCCATCGCTTTAGCTGGATCGATTTTCTAATTTAAGACAAGTTAACTTTGTTCAAATATTTTACGCATCTATTTCGAACTCATTCCGGTTTACTACTTAAAATTTTATAAGAGAACTTCCGTTGATGGGTACAGACAGAGCTATATAAAATTTTTTACCTCAGCTTCGGCATCGGAACGAACGCAAATGCAAGCCGCACGTCTACGAAAGCCATCTTTATCATAGATGCGTGTTGAATTGGGTTTCTCCTTAACCATCTAAAATGAAAAACAAAGTTTTCGCGTTTATAGAACAGAAATGACTTTAAATTAGTTTTAATTAAAGCTAAATCATAATTCAAGGTCAGTTGCTCACTGAAGAAAGTGGCATTTTAATTCCCGGAACCAATTACATTTTAAATTACTTCTTCTCTCTCTTTCTCTGTCTCTCTCTCTCTCCCTATCACGACACATGATTATCGTAATTCAAAAAGACGTTAAAGAAGCGATCATCTCGCAGCTCAATAGAATACACTGCGAATGCGTTCAGTTGTGTCGTGTGTTAAAAATAAATGAATTTCTATAGAGAAAAAATGTTACACGCCACACATGTTAGCCGGATAGTAAGAAAGGCAAGCGTTACATCAGAAAATCGCGAAAATGTTTACGTGTACTGAACTGGAAAGAAATTGCGATTAAAATTTCTGCAAGTCTAATCGACATGAAGCTGTGAAACAAACTGTAATGACAGTAATGAAGTCATAAAGCATACATTGCATCCTTGGTGTACTAAGAAGACACAGCGGAAAGTTTCGTTTTTTACTAGGGTCGTCCGTCATTCGGTTTCTTTGCGCACTTTACTCGTCATCAGCGACAAATCTTGCGATACGTGCAGAATTTGTAGCAAGGGTTTATCGTGGGTTACTGCCTGAAAGGCTTAACCCCACGGTGGCCCAAGCCACTTTAAGCGTACTACGCCCCCTGGCGAGTTAGACAATCCCCATAGAGTAGGGGCCCAAACAACGCCAGAGTCCAGAACGGTTTATTGTGTATGGAACAATAAACCCCACTCTGGTCAGTGGTGAGGCCTAGCTGCACTCGACTGTTCCAGTTTGGCTAGGAACTTGCCAACCACAGCCACCACGAGCACTCCCCGAAGGGCCGCACCCAAGCAGTCAGGACTCACAAATTGACCAACGCTTCCTTGCGCCATAAGGCTTCCACTGCGCTGTTGATCAATTACCACCATTACCCGCAGGCATCCGTGACATATGTTCAAAAGTATAATAAGGCAAAAGGGGAAAAAGCCTTTCGGTCAAATCCCTTTTTAATTTTTGCATATATTAATTAATTCTCGAGAGGGTTTTTTCTTTTTATTAATCGGCCAAAGGGAAGGCCGTCCGTCAATTCCTTTTTGTATTATTATTATTCTTTGAGAAAAAATTATTTTATTTCGTTACGACTTAATGAACAAAGTCCACCATACACCCGCAGGCATACGTGGCTTTGTGAGGCGAGCCCCCTGACCCCCGTGGCTCCCAGTTTATTTTTCAAAGCCTTAGGCATACTTTGGCGGTTGTTAAAAACAACCGTACTTGCTTCGGATTCACGATACTTCCCTGGTTGCCAACATCAATGAACTACTTTTCTTCGAGATATATAGGTCTCGGGTATTGCACTGACATGGCAGGGGCGATCTACCATGCACTCGTGCGATACGTGCAGTAAAAAGGGGATCTCGGTTCACCAGTAACCCACAGTAAAAAAAAAAAAATGAAGAGAAAAGTTCGGCAGGTTAAAGCAAAATTGAAGCGAAGATCGCTTATTAAATTTTAATTGCCTCGATTTGCAAAACTCTTATATATGGCCATGGCAGCATGACCTCGTGGCTTATAGCGTTTGTTAAGAAAATATTGTTTGTCCTTAATGCACATTAAAACTTTTTATTTGTATACCCTACCGCACTTGTTGCAAATGAGTGTATTAAGTTTGTGTGGAATTATGCAACACCCAGAAAGACGCTCGTACTCATTTTCGGACACGATTTAAGCTTTCATGTCTGGCTGTCCCTCTGACCCCCTGACCTGGGAGATCGCAATTTTTGAGAAATTAAGTACAATGATGTGTGTTCACTCAAAGACAAACGCTTCTGATCCGATCACTCCCTCGATCACTTTCTATGGAAATGCTTTACTTTGGAAAGTCGGTGTATGGGTTATGGCCATGCCTCACTGTAGGGTTTTTTAATTTTTTTCTTTCGTTTCAATAAATTTTCAATATCAATTCTTAATTTTATGGTGTAGTAAGTAGAGTGCAAAAAACACAATGAGAATAGAAAAAATTGTTTTTTTTTTTGCTTACATTTATTGCATGTTAAGTCATATTAAAAAAGGCAGTTTGCAAAACGAGATGAAATATATTTAATTTTGGTAAAGACGTAATGATATGCACCCACACACACACACACACACACACACACACACACATACATACACGTACACTTATAGAAACCCATTAAAAGTTATAAAAACAAAGTTGTTTTTAAATGAAAACTAAATAATGACAATTTTCGCTCTATAAAGCTTCTTATCTGATCATACGCGAAGCACTAAATTCTCTTATCTCGTCTATATGTATTTATAATATACTTGTGTAATTGTTATATTTTGATACATTGTGTATAAATAAGCTTTCGCAAGCACAACGACACGCTTTAGTTAAAGTTTTATGCGTTAATTACTTTTAATGACAAAAATGATCACATTTTCTTGGTTTTTTTCTTTTTCTTTTTTGAGAGAATCAGAAACTGCAGGAAAGATATTGTTTTAGAAAAACCGAAGAAAAAAAAAAAAGAGAAAAGAAAAATTAATTTTTATCACTCTTCGCGGTTAGTACTTGGCATTGCATTCATTCGGTGCATTTCAATTTACCTCATAACACCCTTTTACTTCTACTTCTTAAGATGTATGTCCATTCGTCTGCATAACCATTTAAAAATTGAAAAGCTTTAGGTGATATATTTAAAATATATCGGACCGAGATAAAATAGTTTATTTATTTATGGATTTTTTTTTTTTTTTTTTTTTTTGTGAAAAATGCACAGTCGGAAAAGGAAGTGAGCACAATTTTGGAGCAAATCATATCATTTTAATGATCAGGCGTTGCGCCATCAAACTACTACAACTTACACAAATCCCTAGTACATGTTTGAAGAAAGGAGATGATCATCTTGCGATATGAATCATATTCAAATGATTCTTGAATTAGTTTATTCTTCAGAAAAAAAAAAAGAAAACAGAGTTCGGAACCAATATTAGAAAATAGCGCAACACCACTCTCACTCTCACTCTCACTCTCTCTCCCTCTCTCTCTCTTATAGAATTTTTTTGGATACCTTCTGCTTTCCCTTTGCGATACCCAGGAATATGGGTAAATTCGTGAATTCATTTAGTTATGGCAGTTGTTCCTTTTGCCTGTCGTCTGAAATTTGTCATATAAATATCATTAGTTAGTTAAGGGCCGCCCATAGCTGTACCTACTTTCACCTCTCTATAAGAAATATTAAAATATCATTTAGTTTGCTTGATGGCTTTTTGAAAAATCAGTTTATTTATGAAAGCTTCGACCCACGCAACCGACAGTGGACTATATGCATACACAAATATATATAGTTTATAATTTTTTGCTTTATACGTATTCGTTTGAAAATGTATGGACAAGAAATATAAGCATGCTAGGTGGATACAACTTTTTTTTACTTTTCGAGATTGAAGTATCAGTCTATGAAGGCTCACATTGATCAATTGATGCAACAATAATATGGGATATTAAAGTCTTCTTAAGGTGAATGCATCTATTTTCCGCAGAAACCGCCGATATCACTACTTTGTAGCAATTAACCTAAAGCATTTGACATATTCAATTGGTTGGTATTTGCAGCTTTACACCCTATATACAACTTGTGCTGTAGAATTATTTATATTAATAGTTATTATTATTGCCGACATATGCAACACCTAGAAGGTCTTCAAGTAGATCCATTTTTTTATTATACCGAACGATTCAGAGTCATTTCTTTAATCGATCTAAGCTTGTCTGTCCCTGTCTCCAAACTACAAGTCTCAATATTTAAGATATTTTGATTAAATTTGGTAGAGTGACGTGCCGTAACCCAATGGCGAATGCAATCCAAAATGGTTCTGATCCTTCTGATCCACTTGTTCATGCAGATCGCGGATTTCTCATATAAAATCTTAAGTTGACAAGTCATTATAGTCAAGAAAAAAAAAAAGTCGAATTTTCATTATTAGGCAATAAATGAAGTTTTGCTAAATTAGGTTAAGAATCACGTCATATGATGTTTTGAGCATCCTCCATTATTATGCTGGCTTTCATGAGAAATGTGCCTTTGCATGGAAATAATCAGCAATAATTGTAATATTATTATTATTAAAACAAGTGAATAACTCTACTAAGCGATATGATGTAGGGTATGTAAGCCTACAGGATTTGCCCGATTATTATGTTTTTATTTGTTTTATTTACATACAAATGTTGGCTTTTATTACTATTTACAATAATATTATTAATGACTTCATAATCATAATAATAATAATAATAATAATGCGTTCTATAAAGCAAAGTCATATTTTGAATAAAATTTTCATATAACAATCACGTGACCACTTAAATTACTTAATTGTTTATTTATTTACTATTTTTTATTTTTTTATTATTATTATTATTTCCTTTTGATTTTCGTAATCTCTACTGAAAATGAATATGAATGAAATACGTTTTGTGTTTTTCACTTTATTCTTGGCTTGGAATGCACACTTCACGCACGCACATTTTCAATCGCAAACAAAATGATGACACGTATTAGTTCGTCCCCTTACAAATAGCGTCTACACGATCTTTTCAATTTCTCCAAACTTTCGATTCAGTTAAAATGTCATCCCTTATCGTTGACTTAATTGCGACACTCTACTGAATCTACTGACCTAACGGACACACGGACCTTAACGAATTAATTCACAGCGAACTAACTCACTTGATTTCATAGATCCAATGGAAATGTAGTTTCATAACCGCTTACTAATCTATAAGCTATAAGGTATAAATATTTGGTCTACATTAAAGCACCAGCGGACACCAGAAAGGCATTAGAAATTGCCCAAAGACCTCCAACCCTCGTTAGTTTGAGAAATTTGAAACCGATAAAAATTGAAAAACAATTATTAGGTAATTGCAAAAATTTCAATCAGCAGCTTTGCCAGGTATAAAAGATAAAGAAATGGGAAATACCTTTGTACATAACGGTTGAATTCGATGATTTTCACCTTTCTCCACATAAAGTAACAATTTTCAACGAATTCCGACACTAATCATGAAATGCTCGAAACTCCTCTTCTTCCAAATTCATTGCTCTTGTTGATTATTTGAAGGAATTTGCTGCCGAAGCCTACCAAATAGGTTCAGAGGCTGCTTTATCATATGTCAACTGTCGGTTTTGGGTTCAACGGTTTAAAAATGACGACACAAATTGCCTGAATATGGCATATTTTTGGCCATTTGCCGTGAGAGTTGCCCCGGGTACACTGTTGCGGCTCGAAAGGGGCCACACCCAGCGCACATGTGTGCAGCATGGCTTGGCGGGCACACGAGTGCGGAAAGTTAAAGAGAAGTGCGAAAATGGACCGACGGGTGGATCGCTGCCTAACCAATATAATTGCCATAAATGCTTTTTTCAAGTGAAAAAGTGATCAACATTTTTGCAAACACCTAATAGAATAAAAAGATCGGTCGAAAAAATTGACCAGATATTATATGTTTTTATTACTAACGAAGCCTCTGCAATACGAACAGTGATGGAAAGCCTTGTAATAATAATACGAGACAATAAGTTACTAGGTGGATGCGATTGGTGCACTGAAGTGCCATTCATTAACAAAAAACACTTAACGATTCGTATACCTTACCTTACATTGTTGTCTCTTATTTACTATTCATTTCAAGGCAAACATTATATAATTTTTCTCGCTTCTTCATTCTTCTACCCGTTATTTATACGCTTGTTTATTCAGTTCATCTTCTCAAGTGAACGGCAAGCAAACAATATAAACTTGATTAAATCCGACTAGTGTATAGAAAAGTCGCTCATTATCGACATATTCTCATTCGTTTGTTACTATTGCACTCTACATATATGTATATATATATATATATATATATATATATATATATATATATATATATTTTTTTTTTTTTTTGTTTTTGCCTTTAATCTGCCGTGCTCTAATAAAGTAATAAGTAAGTATATGACAAGAAACATGTGCAGGGTTCAATTTATGACAAAGTCTGCGTTTTATTAGTTATTTTTGTTTTGGATAAAATGAATAGTTTTGCGGAAATGACTACCACGCACACTAAATGCAAAACTATTTCGTCTTTATCCCAAATCTCATTTAATAACAATGTCATTCCTAGCTTACAATGGATGAATGCTATAGTTGTGTGTGCATAATAAGATGCCTTGAAGACTCCCACATAAAGTATATATGCATATATACATTTCTAATCAGCATATTGGACAATCTATCTGCTCACGGGTTTAATGAGGAAAAAAAAATTCGATCATCAAATTTTTCTTATCACACTCGTTAAGGGAAAGTGTGAAAATGAACGAAATCGTATGCGAACAATTTTTCCCTCCCTTACTGGGTTATTAATAGGATCACAAGCAAGTTTCTGTGATTTGACAAAAGATGGCCCCGCCAGAACAGCTTTGTTAAAATTGCATCAGCATAGTCAAATTTTCTGCCGAATAAACTTCATTTACGGTAAGTTTTCAATTACTTCTTCAATTTGAAGATGTCTGCTGCTGACGCCAATCGATTGCTTATTGAAGCATATGATGAGGCTGCTTTAAGTGAGGGCAAGTTGTTGTGAAAAAAAAAAACGACGAGTGTGTCGTGGAAGACAAAGAACGCTGTGGAAGAATGTGGAACATGAAATTGGAAGTAGTAGTAGTAGAAGTAGTCCGCAAGCAATTTCACGTCATTTAAAAAAAAAGAAGAAAATTCGCATAAGTGATATGCTGCTTTTGCCAGGCGTAAGAAAAGGCGTTTCTTCCGTGTGATGAAACGTGGATCCACTACGATAACCCAAACAAGAGACAGTCAAATCGAATATTCATGGAAACAAACTCATGCTGTGTATAAGTGGGTGGGGCATAAGCTTGGTGTCGTGGGTTATGAGACCATTACTGGAGCTATTCAATTACTGAGCAATCACTGAGATTGAGACGAGCACACATCGAAAAACGCGTCCCGACACGACCAAATTATTCGCTTACATGACAATACTCATCCACGCGTCATGACGCCGATCATTGCCTATATGAAAACACTTAATTGGGAAGCACTTCGCTTCCGGTTACTTGTTTGCATTGACGGTACATGCTCTGTCTGAGAGAGCAACGCTTTGCATCATATGAACGTATTCAAGATTGATCTATTCGTGAATAGCGATGATATTCGAATGCTGCCAGGAATATGGCGAAAAGTAATGGCTAATGGCAGACAATAATTTGAATAATATAGAGTAGAGTCGAATTTTTTTACTGGAGCATCTTTTTTGAGATTTGCCAACAATAGACAATAGACGCCTGCAATAACAGTCAGAGATTCTGCGTAAACGCAATATCCATTTGGAAAACGGCTCTAGGAACTTTTCGATCATTCGGGTGTAATCATCTCATCTGAGCTTCCGGCGCGTTGAGCATTATCAATGCCCGGACGACGACATTTAGAATTGACAAACCGCCAAAAAATTATTGTTTTGGACAGAGAACGGTTGTTATAAGACTTTTCAAGCCATTGCTAAGTTTAAAAATTATTTTCTCCCGGCAAAAAAGGAACGTTTAATCAGATTTTTATTAGAGGTACCATTAACATACTAACTCCGGGAATTACTGACCGATGTGTTATATGAGCCTTAGTGTTCATACAAAGGGCTGCTATATCGTGCAAATGCACTGCGGCTATAATACGATGGCATCGTGTTTACAATATACTATTGATCAAGTCTTGAACTTTATTTTTATTTATTTGTTTATTTATTTATTTTTTTTGTAAAGAAGAGCCGTCGAAGAGATAACGGAAAGAAATAGGGAAATGGTAGGCGCAACCTAGTAGTCGCCATGTGCACAATCGATAAGTGTTATATGTCATTATCGACTGAGCATTCGTCATAGGTGCGATCAACGAAAACTACCGCACTTGAGATTTGAATCTACGGACACTGAGTTAGTAGTCATGGTTCTTACCTGCGCGGGTACTTAGGGAGATAATATGGAAGTATTACAGAATTTTTCCCCCCTTACCGAGTCGGTTTTTTTTTTTTTTTTACATTTTTGTAATACATATACAATCATATATATGTGTTAAAAATTACTTTTTTTTTTGTGAAAATTTCATCTTATGTAACAAAGTTTATTAAAAATGAATACAGTTTATGAAATTTTTTTGACCATTTTTAATAACTTTTGCAATCTTTGTCCCATATTCTATTTTCACCATCGCACACTATAGGTTTGTTTCTTGCGACATATACGTACACGTGTTGTATTGTGCAAAGGGACATTACAAGCGATCGCAGAAGGTGGTGAGAGAGAAATTTCGATAAGTTATTACTTAGCGACAATTTAAATCTTTTCAAGACTCAGGGACCCTTTTAACAACTTGGATTAACCTAACTAAGATGTTCCCTTCGCCTTCATACATACATAGCTAGATATATAGTATCGAGTATACATGGGCAGCATAATAGATTTAAACGTGAATAGTAATAAAATAGAGGGCAACAATGCCTATATTAAGGCATGATCGCTTCAATTTGCTGCGCACAAAGGATATAAAAGCAACTAAGGTCCTGGTACATCAATTCTGATCATAACCGTACAGCGTATACCAAACAAGGTACGATCGTCTAAACTTTTATTGATTACACCTAAAATTGCGCGTTCTGTCTCATTCCATGTGTTCGTGTTCCAGTCAAAATAATTTTTCTAAAAGAATTATATGCATCACGAAAGAGCTTGGGGGAAGATTTTTATTGAAGGGAACCTATTTCAAGCATCGATAAGTCAAAACTTATTGCAAAATGTAGTTGTGATTAGGACGACCTTTGTTCACACCGTTCCATCTTTTGCGCAAGAACTGAAACATTTTAGATTAGACTCAATTAATTCTAAATTAACAGTTAACAGTTTATTACTACACATTGGTACTTAGGTTTGGCTGATTATCAAATCAAATAAGCAATTTTTAATAACAAGTGTGGTTATGAGTTATGTAAAGTAGACCCCTCGTAATATTAGAAATCTAGGACTTCGTTACATTATATGAACATGGTTTTTTGGCTTTAGCTTTAATTTGGCTTACCTTCTGGTATGTTTTTAAATCCAAAAATATAAGTAAAGCGGGAATAGGTACAAAACTGCAACTGCTCGCTTCAGGAAATTCGAGGAGCTATGGATATGAAGCGAGTAGATAATTGCTCGCAACAAACGTTTATAGAAAAATTGCTTGCTTGACACACACACACAGACACACCTCCGTGGCATGAACCATAAAATGATTAACAATCGCGTTGAATTGGATAAAAGGAGGAAGAAATTTAATCGAACAAAAAAAAAAAAGCAATAATAAAAAACAAACAAACAAACAAATCAACAAAATTAAGAGAAACAAAAGTTTTGTTGTTGCTGTTTGATTGAAAATTAACTTTGAAAGTCAAGCATTTTTGTGTTGGTGGTTGTTGTTGCTGCTGTTTGGTGGGGGTGGCTATTTCTATTTATTAGATTTGATGTATAAGTAAATAGCTGTGCAAGCCGTGTTGGCAACAAAACGAAGTAAATCCACAGTGCCAAGCGTTTAAATTTGATTTAAGAGTCTGCCTTGATATTAGTTGCAGTAAGTAAAAATCAGACGGCCAGTTTTTATAGCCAATCTATTGGATAATTACTGCTAAACACCTTCGCAAAGGCAAAACAATGCTGAGGAAACGGGGGCTTGGCGTTTTTGTTGATTAAACAGCTGCTTTCAAGTTTTCACTGCAGACATTCTTTATTCATATTTTGCTTAATCATGAAAAGAATTTCAGGGCAAATGCGCTTTACAGATTATGATGCTTTTTTCCGTGGATCTCTTTTGTTTAAAATTTTGCTTGCTTGTCACGGTTTACCAACGAAAATGCACATTTTCTTTTTTGCATAATTTTCACGATAGTTCAGCATAAATCACACGTGCATAATTCAGCATTTGGCATCAAAATAAATCGCACGTCATCGTAATTTTACATTCGACCCGTATTTATATGATTTACAGATAATATTTCAATTGATCAGCAAACGGAAATTTTTCACTGATTAACCGGAAATTTTAATGGCTTTAATTAAACTGCTCTGCAGCCGGCAGCCTAAAAAACTTCCTTAAAATGTTTTTCCTAATGAAAAATTGGAAAAATTTTCTCTCTTCCACTACGCTTTCTATTTGATGGTAACAGAGTTGCCAACACAACAATTTAATATAAGTAAAATAGGAATGAAGAGAAAAATACATAAAATATTTTATTTTAATTATTAAAATTATGCAATGATATAACCCAGGACTATCAGTTTTTTCTCATGGCTATATCAAATATATAATTCGACAGAGTTCTTTGCCTAAATAAAATGTTCAGACATGTCAAAGGTTTATGTAATTGAAAAATTGCAACACGGTACGTATTATATAAATTATAAAGAAATACTAACATTAGTTTATTTTGTAATAACAACTAATTCATTTTATAAAGAAACTTCTTAAAGGATAATGATATATGAAATTTTTCGCTATAGTTTTCAGGAATTTGTGCTACACAGCACAAAATGGCAGCCCAAGTTTAATTTTTCATACTTAATCGGTACCTATGTCTTACTACATATTAATGAGTTAAAATAAACCGCCACATTTCTAATAACGTAGTAATAAATTACGATATGTTAGAATTAAAGGTCATGGCAACCCATGCATTCACCTTATCATTTTATTTATTGTTGTTGTAAAGCGGTTACATTGTGTGTGTTTTGTTGTTGCATTTGCTTGCTTAATTCTTCTAAATAAAATATGTTAAATTTTGCGAGAATTAAAAATGGGCCACCCTTACTCTCTTGAACGAATAGACAGAATTTTGCAACGTTGTGCAAAAAAATAATTATACACAATTAATGTTAACGTTTTGTAATGAAAATTTTCTTTTCAATATTTTTCACTCTGCTAGTTAGTATTGCTTGCAAAATATATAATCTCGCTATTATTCCCTTGGGATTAAATCAACTGGATATTTTGAATTAACAAAAAATAAAAGCAACGGACACTGAGATGCGCTGCTACAAATAGTAGTAGATAATCGTAATAGATAAAAATAATAATTAGAAATACTGTTATTGTAGATAAAGAGATTTTGCTTTCATAGATAAAAAGTAATGTTTGGTGTTAAATGATGAAAAGCTCTCATCTCTATTGACGAGCTTCATGATGACAAGCAATAGAAAGCTTTTAGCAATTCGGCTACTAGCTATTTGACATTTTTATTTCTTTATTAGATAAAAAAGAATAAAAAAATGATGTTTTACAAAATATCTAATGAGATTGTGATCATTTTTTTTTTAATTTTAATTGATTCTCATTAAAAAAGCAAGTCTAATTAAATATCTCATTGTACTAAAAATGCGACTTCAAAGTCCCAGTAATTAGTTTATTATACATGAACTTTCTTTGAAATTTTATAACATTATATATGAATATTTTTAAAAATCAATTTTTTAAATTTTCCATCTTCTAGCTATTTTAAAATACAACTGAACATACGAAAGCCGTGAGCTTCTTCTTTATAAAAACTTTTCGAAAAAAGAGAAGAAAGTATAAGAGCTTTCTATTTTTATATGTAATTTTGTATTATTAATGTAAAATAAATTGCAATCTATTGTAATAGAAGCTAAGTAATCAAAAGTATTAAAATTTAACTGATAAAATAATGAATATAAAAAAAATTTTTTTTCGTTTATGTGTTGAGCCGTTTCGAAAAATTTCAAACGTTATTCATATTCGAATTTAAAATTTGTGAGGGAGAGCAAAATTTACAGGAAAAATTTGGGAATAAGGCTTTAAGCAATAGGGCATTTAAATCTTTCAAAAGTTATTTGTTAGTGGTTGACCGGAAATGTTTTTTTCATTTATTTGGTCTCTTGATTCTGAATATGAATAATGAAGAAGAAGATTTACGAGCAATTGAATATTCTTGGTAAACGTCTGACCAGAACGTACATATTCATAAAAAAGGGGAGGAAATTATGCGGAAGGTGGAAATTATGCGATCATTGAGCAGACTATGGAATGTCTACAGTACTACGAATTAATAGATTATAGACAGACTCTCAACATAACACAAAAATTGTAAGCTGTACTTATGTTATATGAATAACATTGTAATAACATTTTAATACTAACATTGTTAGATTATAAGCTTTCCAAAGTAATAAAATGTTGTCCATGAAGTGAAAATTGGGCAGGCATTAAGGCTATCTCATTTTTCAAGCATGGTATGAGAAAAATCATGAAACATTAATACTATACTATATTTGTTATATTAGCACGCATATATTATTAGTTATATTATGGTTATCTTATTAATAGTGTACAATTAATTTATCGTATTTATCTTAAATGTGTTCTAAATGAGATAATTTTATAAATGAATTCGAATTCTTCCATCCATAAATGTATTTATATTGTCTTAGCTACTGTAAGTTGCTTATAAAGCTCTCGCTTATATATGATATTTGATACTTAATTTTACAGCTTTGTGCGAAAATAAGTACATTCTATTTTTTTTTTAAAAACTGTCGTTAGTTTAGTTTTGCTCAGTGATCTTTGCCGACGAGTCCTTAATAGCTTTGATGTAAGTGAAAGTGAGAATGAAGTTACAAATAATCCTGTTAGTTACTGTCCCATCATTTTTCTTTTTTTTTTTTTTTTTGGTTTTTTAAATACTTCTTGCTTCCAAGTGAAAGGCGAAGAAAAACAACTACAAATGGAAATTAAACAAATTCTCATCAAAGGTAAATTCCATAAATTCCAATTAGTTGAAAAGTTTTTTTTCGATGTTTTACGATAACATTTCTATTCTGTTCTCTCTTTTGCTCTAACTTGCTGGTATGTATGTAGAATATGTAGAATACGAGCGCGCATATGTATATGAATGCTTGCCCGCGTTTGTCAATGTTTTGTTGTCCACCCACTTTGTGCTATCAGTTTACGTTTTTTACGTACATAAATATTTCGTATTTCTGGGTACTTTAGCTGGCCCGCCAGCGAAACAAGTTTGATATCGTATTATATATATATATTTTTTATTTGCTTTTCTTTTTCACGTGCAGTCTAATCTGTTTAAGTAACAACTATAAAGATTTTTTGGTTTTGCTCAGCGAACGTAGCATTCTCGATGTTGCGTATTTTCCCAAGCTCTAGTTAAGTCTCGTGTTTGTCCAATGGGCATGTATTTGCATTTGGATTTGCATTTGCATTAGTCGCCACCTTAAGCTTATGAATTCAGGCAGATAGCAATAATGGCTTAGGCTACAATGCCTTTAAAACAAAATATTCTTTGGCACACTTGGATGTTTTGCTTCATTTTTTTCAATGTGGTGCGTTGTTTATGTTCCATTACCTTTAAGGTCGTTTATTACCTGTTGGTTCTATTGGTTCTCGTTTTCTTATATATACACATGTATGTATATACATATGTATATGGTTTTTTTTTTTTTTTTGTTTTTTGCTTGCCACGGTCGATCGTCGCAAAACAAAAAAAAAATATATATATATTCTTTAATGAAATTATTCAGGACAAGATATCAAAAACTGACACTGGTTGTCTTTGTAAATTTTATGCAGTGCAGTTCGCCGATTGTAAGTGTGCTACGTTTTCTATCATGTTTGTGACACATGAAAACATTTAAGAAATAAATTTCACAATTTTTACTAACATAAGATTGTAAACAATTTTAATTTTATATATGTATATATGTATATATATATATATTTATTAAATTTGAATATGTGAATGTGGCTGTTCGTCCATTTTGTCGATTAATTTGCTTACAACGTAAACAAGACTCGGGTGCGAGCGAACATTTTCTAATATTTTTATTAATAACTATAGACATCGATATGAGATTTCTTTCGATTCTGATTGGCAATCCTTCCAACTCAAATGGAGGACTTGAATAATGGAATATGTACTTCTCGAAAATGTTTTAAGTGCTTTTTAAAGGTCTTTTTGTGTATTTGCTTAAGCTAGTGGATGCATAAAATTCATCTCGATATATGTATAAAGCTTTTGTATTCTTTATACATTTTTTTTCTTTATCGTTATTTATTGTCTTTATCGGTTAATTAATGTTTTATTGAATACAAGTGCTTTTATATAAATATTATTAAATCTCTCATTATATATTATTTATAAGGTTATTGTCTGAAAATTGATTTCTTCCAATTATGTGTGGCCAATATTGTCACCATCACACGTATTGTAGTTAGTACATTGTGTATTTGACCAGCATTTGCTGGATTTATTTATGGTTAAATGTATGATTTCTATTGACATATGTTGGTTCATTTTAATAACGAAACCTATGATTATTGTTATTTATGTTCGAATTGTATTTAAATTATTTATCACATTTGTCGCGACATGCATACATTTATATATTGCAAATATATAAATGTATGTGTATGTATTTATTGAAGTGTAAGGTCACTGTTGCATGAATAAATATTGTTACGATCATATTAAGTTTGTTAAGTTTGTGCAAATGCGGTTGTGAATTGAAATAAAATTTGGTGTTTAGTCAAGTAAGTCAAACGATACATATATGTATATATATATATATGTAATTTTCTCAAAAATTTTACACTGATTTCCAATTGTAAAGCGAGATCATAATTTTATAAAAGAATTACCCAATTTTTGCACTTATAAGAGTAAAGTTTTTCCTCAAAATAGTTTGTTTGATCCATCTTTCCATGATCCAGTCCATGAGAAGAAGCCGGCAATGCAAAGAAGTTGAGTTGCAACACTAGATAATTATATTGTTTCCGTGTAACCCGTGATGCTTTACACTTTAATTGATTAAATATAAAACGGATATATTCCCAGATAAGAATCTTCCGTACCGGAAAAGAAAATCGGAAAGATTTTAAGGAATACTATGAAAGCCGTTAAATAAATCCTAGCTCCGATTGTAGTTTTTTTTTTTTTTCCTTTTTTTTAATTAGCAGTCACTCAGGACTGCGTGCAAGCATCATTATGATCAGGAAAAGTAATGCGAAGCCCTAGGCAGACTCCATCGCTTTTTACTTTTTTATCAAGTACTGAAATGAAATTTTTTTCATTATTTTTATAGAATTTTATGACAGCATTACGCGTT